TTTCCCCCCCCCCCCCCCCCCCCCCCCTTTTTTTTTTTGGCCTATTATTCTTTTCAAATCACAAGTTTTTTTTGCCGCGGTTGGCCCCCGTGGACATGACCATGACCGCATGCGGTAAAATGGCCTGCGGTCATGACTGCGGGCGATACATAGGCTCGATTCTAATATCCTTTTTGCTAGTGGGACCTCGGCCCAGCAGTCTGCATCTGAATCCGGCGCGAGTTGCCGGAACTCGATCCCGGTCCGTTGTTCTCTTTGGTATGGGACGCCCGGCCCGTCTCCCGGTTTGTTTCGTAATAAGATGAGAATTGTTGGGAGAACAAAAAAAAGAAGCATTCTCTGACAGCGTGCCAATTTTCTTCGGGTCTCCAACACTGTTAATTTCTTTCTTGTTTTTCAATTAGCTGTTGAATATGGACATGACAGCCTTTCAAGCCTTTTTCTGGTCTCCAATTTTTTTTTATGTTTTTTTTTCTTTTTTTTTTTTTTGGGAAGGCTTACTGTTATATTGCAAAACCACAGGGACAAGGCCGGGGACCTCACAATTCAACCCGGAGTTATCCTGGCAGCCACAGCCAGTTTCATTTACGAGCACTGCTCTATGGACAACCAACTGCTCTAGATATTCATGCGTTGCTGCTGGAAACTGTGTCCAGCGTCCCATTCTAAAACCACTTTCCAAAATTAAACTTGAAGCACAGAGTAAAAGGGAGCTATCTGTACCTAGCTCCTAGCCATTAAAATCATTTGTTGTACTGGAAAGACCAAACCCACATTAATGTTTAATCCAGCTTATCCTGAAGCTCTAGTACTGGAAGTCATATATCTGTAATCCTGGCTATTAACTATCCTTGCTATCTAGAGTCCTGGCAACCCTCACGGCGGTATCAACCAATGGGCAAACGATAGCTTCTGATCATGTAATGTATCACCTGTGGCCCACGTCTTGAGAAACAAGGGCAGTCCTTTCTTCCGACTCTTGCCGTGTCCCTGCCATTCTGCCAGGATGGTTCGACGAATGTTTCCCATTATCTGCCAGTGATGTTCTTGCTCATGAAGTACGATCTTCTTCTTTTTGAAGACTTGCGAGTTCCTCGCTCTCCAAATTTCTTGCATAATTATACCTCTGCATACTAGGGCTACGTAGCCCCAGCCACTGGAGTAACTTCCACCTTGGGTCGACAGAATTCCAAAGAGGGTCCACTCGTCCGACCACGGCCACGCAGAGTCTGCAATGATGTTCCATTTCTCAGTCCACTACATCCAGAGTTCATCTGACAG